CTCTGGTGAATCCTCTCACCCTCCGCATCTTTGGCCTGGACCCCAGTTCTGTGTGCAAACATAAATAAAGCTTTTAAAAACAACAATACAAGACTTGGCAGCACAGGAGCTTAGCGTGGTGCCTCATGCTGAGTCCGGCCCCTCAGCCGGGGGCGCCCGCCAGGCCACACACCAGCTCGTCTGCGGAGCCCAGATCCAGGCCATCTACCTTATCAGACTTGAAGTACGGGGTGACACGGCCCCTCATTCCTGGAGGCTTTCAAAGACAGTGTCCCCGATGAGCTAGGCCTGGGGGCTGGAACTCAGGGGAGCGGAGAAAGTACTTCGCACATTTCCAAAGTCAGCAGAAGATAGGATGAGGCAGTCGGAGAATGGAAGAACTTGAGGAAGGGATGGTATTAAGGAAGCGGGGTTCAGAGGCCCCAGAGGGGCCCCAGTTTAGGAAGTAGAGAGGGGACCAGGAGCAGAAGTCACTGCACCCCGCAGAGATGGCGTCCCTGGTGCAGCACAACAGTATCGAGTTTGATCAGCCTCCTCCAGCCTCCAAACACATGTTGCACCCCTGCCCGGGGACTCAGCCCTCAGTGCCGCGCCGCCCACCTGGAGGAGACAGACGCCGACCAGAACGCAGGGCACATCCTCCAGCCCCCCTCCGCCCCTCCGGAACTGGACAGCGAGGGGCCGGCTGCCATCTCCGCCATCTGTGCACAGCACAGCCACCCGCCCAGGCAGGCGGCCTCCCCGGCCTCCTCTCCTCTCTGGGAAATGGCACCTAGGAGTCTTCTGAGCGGCGACGGGGAGGCAGAAACAGAGCCCAGGGCCCCCGCTTCTGCTGCACCCCATCACCTTCCGCCCCAAGGTAGCGCAGACCGGCTGATGGGCTGATGGCCGCTGCACTGGAGGCCTGTGCCAGCACCCTAGGTTCTCCGAGTCAGGTGTCCGCCCCTCCTGGGCCTGGACGCCTGGGTCCCCCGGAGAGGAGGGGGGACATTGCATCTCCTACTTGGGAAGCAATTATCGGAGGAGCTGTCAGCTCAGCACAGCTCTCTCCTTGCTAATCGGATTTCACCAGAGCCTGGGGCTGGGGGGGGCTGAGTAATTTGGCTTGATGCAGTGGTGGGAGATGTCGGGGCCAGGAGATAGGACAATCTGTCTGAGTAGTGTTAAAGTTGTCCAGAGCAGTTATCCTGAGGGAGCCACACAGACATCAGACAGACAGACAGTCGAGGACCCTGGAGCCAGCCCCGGGGTCCTCCGGCAGGATGGAAGGAGCCTCTTCCAGGGCGGCGGGAGCTGAATTAAACAACGGAGGAGTCAGGTGAGTCTGGGAGGGGAGCCGAGCGGAACCGAGAACCCCTGCTCCCAGGCTCCCCTCTACTGCCTCCTGCTCCGGCAACCCTCAGCAGAGCAGGGACTGACCCAGGAGGGAGAGTCTCCCCGGCCTGCCCCTGCCCTGCCCTGCCCCATGACGCGTCGCCTGCCCCATGCCGACTCTCCCTGGTCTCTGGCTCCTGCCCTCCCTCCCTCCAAACCTCCCCACGCCTCGCCCCTCTAGACCTGCAGAATCATAACTAGGATGATTGCAGGGCCTCCCTGGCGGCCGAGAGAGGTGAATCTCAGCGCTGTCACCACTGCGGCCTGAGTTCGATCCCCAGCCAGGGAGTGACCCCCAGGGTGCAGCAGACCCCTCCTGTCTCCCCGCTGCTCCCCTCAGCAGTGTACTTCGTTGATCTGCCTGTTCTGCTCCCCGCTCTGTCTCTGGGGAATCCTCTCACCCCTGCACCTCTGGCCTCTGCTCCTTCTAGGTAAAAAAGAAAAAAAAAAGATAACAATGATTAACCTTGACCGCATGGCGCTCTGTGCCACACGCCACCCTCAGCACCCCTCAGCCTCTTCATCTAGCCTCAGCCTGGCGCTAAGCGGGACGCCCTTGCTGTGTGTCCTCCCTCACGAGGACACCGCTGTGAGGTTTTTGCTTCCTGACCAGCCCTGGCACGTGTTTCGTGTACGAAACATGTCTGTAGGCTGAATCGACGATCGTACAGATTCGCTACTCCCAGGTAG